AACTTAAGCGAGCGTGCACCAACTTACCGCTAATTCAAATTAAGTCGAGCAAAGCCACTGGCCGATACGGGTCGTTTAATTAGCCGGGCGACGGACGAACTGAGTTATTGCCAGCGAGATCTTGGCCCGAGCAACATCTATCTTACACCCCGTGTATTTTTCTCTTTATACTTTGCCTACAAATTGCTTGCTAATTAATAAAGAAAAAGAAAAAGAAAAAAAGAAAAAAGATTCTACGTTACAGCGGTTGGCATTATATCACAAGCCAGGCGAAACATCATGCGGAAAAAGGAATAAAATATCATCGAGGAACACGCGACTCACAGTGAAAATTCCATTTGACGAAGGAGGAGGTAAACCATCATACGGATCAAGAAACGAGCGTCGAAAGGGCTTTGCTAGAAACGATGACGTTGCCGCGACTCGTCGAGCAAAGCGTCCTGATTTCCTTGGATCAGAACTCCCGACGGGCGTCTAGAAGCGCAGGGATCCCGATTAATTAATATCCGTGCAATCAAGGTATTGCCGCGTCGCTTGCTGCTCAACGTCGGTTGGCTCTTTCGCGAAAACGATCCCTTCGAGGGATTCCAGAAGACCCGTTGCCGCAATTTACGCAGGAAACGCTGTCCCAAGTGCAGACTCGCGAGCGGAACGAGCGACGACGCGTGCTTTCAAAGCTGCGATTCCGGTGAGCAACCGAGCGAAACGTCGGAACGACGAAACAGGACAAGCCCCGTTCCCTTGATTCGCTCGTAAGAGATCAAAGTTAACCAACGGTTTATTCATCTACCGAGAATTGGATACAAGCGAACTATCGTGTACAGAGAATTCAATAAAAAATCAACCGAATGTAAACGAAACTGTTTAGAAACTTTTTCCTCTATCTAAACAAGAATTCTTCCGGACGGTCGGCGACGCACGGGACTTAAATTCCGTTCCCTCTGTCTCGAATGTTTAACGAGCACAAATTTCATTTGTAACGCGCGCAGCGCCCGCGTAAACATTTTTTTAACATTCGCAGCTGTCGAATAAATTACTAAAGCAAGCAATCGAGAGAGAAAGCGAAAAAATTTCCTGCGATAGATATCAACGAAACGGTGATGTTTATCAGGAAATAGAGCGAGGATTTTTTGCAATTTTTCGTCGTGTCCCTTTCGGGAGCGTTAATCTCTAGTACGCGTACCTACAGGTAAATATATCTCGTTTTATTCGATTATCAGTCGCGATATCGACCGGCTGTGTACATTTTCATTCGGTAATTTACGAAAGGCTGGAAAGCCGGCTACACAGCAGTTGTTGGCGTCTCGTGTTTCACAATTCATAACTTTCCACTGCCGAAATTGACGATCACTACGGTAGGCAGTGCGACGAGTGTCACTGAGCGTTTTTGCCCGCAAAATGATGCACGACCGACGATATTGCGCGAGCACAGCCATCCCTGGTTCGTTTCTCTTTTACGCTTCCAGCTGATGATTACAAATCCCGCTATCCCGCTAAACTACCATCGATATCAGGGTTTCTCGTTTTCAAACGAGGAACACGAGTTCACTCATCGAACAGATGAAAGAAGTTAATTTAAAAACAACTTCAACTCATCAGAATACAATTAATCGCGTTTATAATTCCTTGTTGATCGACGTTCTTTTATTGAATAATAATCCACGTCGATAAGCGGATGATCGACACACGTCAAGCGAACGACGATCATCGTAACGATATTGTTATCGTTAACGTTACGGCATTATCGCGGTCGTCGCTTGTACAAACGGGACTCTCGCGTAACGATATTAGAGGATAATGGAACCCCTTGGAACGACGTCGACGACGTCGAGGACGACGACAACGAGACCGACGTCTACACGTCGCGATAATAGTTGCACGCACGTATTCACGAGCGAGTGCGCCGATCCGCAAGTACGCGCTCGCGCGATGGTAATGAGAAGAACGCCCGAGGGGCTTTTCCACGCACAATGCAATTCCGTTTGTAACTGATAATGGCCGTTGCAGTTCCAGAACACGCTCGTTACCTACGACCCTTTTCCTCTTTCTTACGAACCCCCTTTGTTACTTTCTTTCTGCATATCTACGTCGCTGACCTTAATTTTTCAATTCATACTTAATCTTAATCAGATATTTTATTGCGACGTTAATTTATGTCTAAAAGAATAGGAAAATCTAAAAGACGATCGAGGATAGAAAAATGAGATGACAGGTAACTGACCGATTCAAGCTAATTAATCAAGCGGTCAACGTACAAGGGGGCAATTATCCTACGGTAATTAACTTCGCAAACTGCAGGGCCCGCGATGTGTAGCAAGGCGAATGCGCAAAGGACGAGTTTTGGTAGATGGTTGATAGGGAGGATGGTGATGGTGGAGTCAGCAGTGGATGGTGGATGGTTCGGATGGAAGGTTCTTCGTGGGTTCCAGCCTGATGGAGCTGTTCTAGAATTATACACGGGGTTAGCCCTGAAAACCAGGCAGCAGCTAGCTTTTGCCCCGGAAACTAATTTAACTCTCGCATCCTCCATCCTAGCCGAACCAGTAGCGTACCAGTCGAACCACGAGCCTCCACTATCGACCCGGCTCTCTCGTACGCAGCCGATTTCCATCCCCCTTTAAACCGTCTGTGCGCGTTCGACAGTGTCGTCGAGTCGACCTGATCTACTCACGTGAAAGAACTAAATACGTGTCTAAACTTTGATTTTCTCCGATCGAATGGAAAGTGTGTCGAGGAGGGTGGAAGATGGTTCGAGTACTTTGACACTGGATACACTGGATTGATCGGCAACTTCGAGTACGCTTTGAAGGATTAATTAGAGGCACGTAGATGGGACGTGCGCTGTGGTTACTCATCGAGGCTTCTTGCAAATGGAAATAGAGTGAAACAGTAATGAAGACCGTTAATACTGTAGATTTTTATACGCGTTTATGATCGAATTTCCAGCAACGAGTAGCCAAATTGAAGAATACTAATCCCATTAACAATTAACTGAAATTGAACAGACCATTCCATCGGTAAATAGTAATTTTCTATGAATGACCATCGAAACGATTCGCGATGAAAATTCTAGCAACCCCTAAATATCTGTCCTATATGCAGCCTGCTATCAACGATTCATTAAGAGACCGGAGATAATGGAACGGTTTTCACGAGGATTTCGCAAATTAACGCGAGCCATTGTGATTCCTCGATATTCGTACAATTAACAGGTGATTTTTAAATCGAGTCCACCCAGGCCCGTTCTTTCAACCTTTCGAGGCTCTGTTCCTTTTAATGGAATCCACCTAATCCTGGACGGGCTTGGGTTATGGAGGCCTCTATCTATCCGACCAGCTCTCAGCCACTCGCTAATTCAATTAGCCAATTTTCATTCTACCATTCATGCGTTCGTTTTAATTCGCAAGATAGTCCCGCGAACGATAACCAATATCTCTGACCGACCCACCCTCTTCTTTTTTTACACCTTTCTCTCTAACATCGACCAGTCTAGCCTGGTCTACCGTTGATTTCGTATTTGCTCACGGTCAACGTTCGAGCCTCTTCATTTTCACGTTCTACGCGAATTATCCCGCAGACAACGTGTCTGCTGATAACACACCTGTTCCGTGCCAACGGGATGAAGAAAGCGTAACGCAAATAGGGTAAACGCGAACGCGGCGGAATATAATGAAAGCTTTCGAGAGAATTTGAAAAATATCTACCATCGTACTTAATAGAATAAGGTAACGAATTAAACGTTATCTATATCATTAACGGGTTAGCCAGGATGGAAAATCAACCCTCGAGCGACGCTTGAAATTTCCATCAGAGATTACGAACTCGTAGATCCGCGTAATCAGGAGGAAACTTTTCGCGCGATTGTTCCATTAAACGATAATTGACTGTCAAACTCGCAACAGGATGGCGGGCACATGTAGCGGTGCACACATGTGCTCGTTCGACTGTAATCCCAGAAACGGGTTAATTGCGTTATGGCTGTCATTATCTCGGTCGCTGAGCATGCAGTTCTCGAGAGGAGCGTCGGCTCGCCACCCATCGAGACGCGGCTTGCGCACGTAATCCGTGAACGTGTTCCGCTGAAACGTTTACTTCTAAACGTGCGGTGCAAGAGAAATTCACTGACGTTTATTTCATTTGCAACGCCCTTAAGTTCGACCCTTTCTATCCTCCTATCGTCATACGGCCCTGCTGACCGTCCGATTGTTCCCTTCGCTATTGTGTTAACCGCCTCAAACTTACCCCGAACGATCATCAAATTATTATCGGTAAACCCTTTCTCGCCTGTCTACCGTTCAACATATCCCGAAAAATGAAAGAGATTTCAACGATAGCTAGATCTTTGATTAACACGTACACTCCACACTTCAATTCTTCAATCTTTTGCTCGATAATTCTTTTTAGTTACCTTCAGAGACGATTCCAGTCCGTTTTGTTCGAAACAAGTTAGTTTAACGAAAATTAAGTAATCAATGTTATGATAAAATTACATGAAAATTTTCATGGGAAACCGCTACAAAGCTATAAAGTTTGGCAAGCTTTTCGTTAATTATGTAATAACTGTGCTTTCCATTTAATCAGATACTATTCCGTATGAATAATCACTGTACGCTTCACCACTTGCATGCATTTAAAGTTTAAACTAAAATTATGCGCAACCTAGTCATCCCTTTACCGAAATTCGTTTTTGCGTATCCTGAATTTTAACCTCGGCGTGAAATTAAAAATACCGATAAAAAATTACACGGAATCCGTGCCGCTTGTTTTTACGGCTCGTTAACAAAAGCCTTTTTTCATTCGCGTACGCCGCGGGGAAAAAAGCGCAGCAAGATATGGCCAGTCTTTTTGACGTCAGAATCGTCGTTAATTAACGCTTTCCAACTGGTTCGCCTCGCGAAATGCTCATTTTCCGCTTTCACGCTCGCGCCCGACAATTTCGTCGAGTTTACGCGCTTCCAGAGTACTTTCCTCGCGGAGAAGATAGTCGAAGGAAAACTTACCGGGATCCGAGGAAGGATGAGACCTGGTGAGTCGGCAGAGTTGCAACGGCAGATAACGAGTATCAGCTCGCGGTGGTGACTTCGGCGGAGGAGGCGTCGCGCTGAGGAAACCGCGCTGAAGCTCCCATCCGACTTCCTGGATGATCGAGGCTTTCCTGAAGTAGGGTGTAACCTCTCTCAGATACTTCACTGTAACAGAAAGAAAATTTCCAATTTCGCGTTAGTCGCGAAACAAAATGATATCCCATTTTTCAATTTAACCCCATCGTATGATATTTCGCCCGGAAGTTCGAGAGGGGTGGGAAGAGCAGGGGATAGCTATTGCTTGCTAATCAAACTCCGGCTATGAACACTTCTGCCGATGCTTTTAGCTTTAATTAAATAAGCCGCAGGCAGGTTTCACGATAAATTGAGTATTCCGTGGGGCAATATACAAAACCAAACATTCTCCATAACGATAATAATAACACTATCGATCACTTAAACTGCAGTTCTAGCCGCGCGAGTTTATGGTTATCTCCAGATTCTGTACCCATTCAATACGTATTTGAGCAAGGAAAGTTCCTATAAAGGAAAGTACGACTGTGTCACCCTTGTCCCTGGATATCCTTTCATCTTTTCCTACATACCGGCTAAGAGTTCGAAGGCTTTGAACCTTCCTTTCGCCGCAATTCTGTAAATGCAATTCGGCGAATCCAGTGCAGACATAACAAAATTCCCAAAAGTCTCCGTGCACAACGTGTATCGATGATTTTGCCCGAATTGTAGGAAGAAATCGACGAGTTCAGCCACGGTCACCGATATCAAAAGAGTTTGAAAAATCAGACCAACCTTGTAAATCCTCTCCCTCGTCTCGGCCCGATATGTTTCGGTTTCGGCATCGGTGATACGGTACCGCGATCACGTACAGACTGTTTCAAAATCCAATTTGTCGCTGATGTTTCAACGTCGCTAGAGTAGCAGCAGCCGCGATTACATAGAGAAGGAACTCGTTAAAGTTCGAAGGAACACTGGCTAGGCTGGTTAGGGAGAAGGGGAAACGATACCCAACGAAATAGTCTGCAATCCTGGCGCGAGCTAACCGAAATACTGAAACATGCAGCACGCCACGCCAAAGAAGGCCGGGGTGGGTTGGAAAGAGTAACAGATATCCCCGGGGCGAGAGGAGAATCCGCTGGATATCCCGTAAAAATCGCTCGTAAAGACGGGATATCGTTTCCTCCAGGAGAACGTGGCTTAATATCGAACCGATCGACCCAAACCCGCGCGCCAATGTTCCGTCGAGAAATTTCCGTTCCTAGGAAATTACCGGCTCGAACCGGGTTCTATGCATAAATTTCGAATTCGGCGGGAGAACGAGTGCGTGGCTGATTTACCATTTGTTATTTAACCCTTCAAGTACCAAAAAGGCATGGATTCTTTGAAAGAACTCTTGGAAAGATTCTCCTTTGAATCATAGTTTGCTGTTCCTTTCGACGAGAGATTAACGACGCGTGGAATGTGTAGACGTTTCGACAAACAGGAGCAATTTCAACGATGCCCATTGATAAGCGAGGAACACCGTGACCGTAATGCACGATCCGAGTAACCAATCTCGTTTCACCGAACGGCGCAAACAGTGATCCATCTACCCTATGACTCGTCGCATTATTAATAATTAGACGAGGCCCGGTGTACCCAGGCTGTGTTTGCCTCTCGATTTCCATCCAATTGGATTACAGTTTGCGTCACCATAGAATATCATTGGCTAACATTGATCGGGGACTCCTCTTTCAGCGATTCGAACCTGTGCGAAATTTTTATCTCGCGCAAATTTTATGGAATAATAAAAATCTAGCAATTTGTTTCGTTTGAAAGATTCAACAAATTCGCGTCGATGTGCGGTGGTTAAGAAGCACTTGAACTTTTTTATATTTTACGAAAAGCCACGGACCGTCAATAGCGTACGCGTTGGCAATCTCGCGACAGAAATTTGCCGCGATATGGAAAAGCTCGAGAGACCGGAAGCAGCCTAGCAATTTTCTCGGGGCCAGCGCGAACACGCGCCGCCAAGCATCTATAATTTCCCGCGTTTCCGCGTCACACCTCTCCTCGAACGCGCGCGATAACGAGACTCGAGATTGCCGGGATAATTTTCGCGCGTGAAGCGAATTCCGTCGCGCGTCCACGCGTTTAACGCGTTCGTCGTCGCCTCTTACACAGGGTTGTTACAAAAAAAATTCTTTACACCGTGAAAACCGAACGTTCACCCGCGTCACAAAAATTTATCATAATTGGCAAAATAAAATGAACTTTTCAAATTTAATTTACTCCAACGATTCTATAAGAACTAGAACTCTCCGCTCAATTCCCGCGTCGAAACGATTAAGCACTCAAAACTTTACAAACTTTCTTGATACTTATCGACGTCTATCGAGCATCGAAAGCCCATTAAGCATTCAAACATCAATCACACCGTTTCTAACCAACTTTCCCGTTGTCGATCAAAAGAGGAAAAAGGAAAAGTATTCGAAAAAGTTGAAAACTCGTTGTTCGTGAACCGATATACGAGAATCGAGACCAATCGAGCGAACCGAACGGCTCGAAAATAAAGCAAAACGTATAAAACCGGAAGTCGATCGCTGTCCGTTGCCGTCGGAAGATATTTTTAATATCCGGCGACTTTGCCGCCCCCTCGTCTTACCTCCCCTTCGATCCTGTGTATACAGGCCAGAAAGGGGAGGCTTTCGTCTACAAGGGGAATGATCTCGTATTGAAATTGCACGGAAATTTATCCCGGATCGTGGCGTTATATCGAATCGTTCCTCACAAATTCGAATCACGATGAAAAATGGAACGACCTATTCGTCGTCCATAAATTATTCCACCTTTAGATGATAGCAATGTTATTAAAATAATATATAATTAGTGTTATTATTTAATTATATTGGCAGAAAACAGAACGTAACCAGAATTGTTGGATTTTGATTAACGATCGAATTAATCGTCTCTGTTTATCCAGGAGGAAGGCTTTGTCTTTCTTGGCAGAAATTCGATGGAAATCGTGCAAAGCAACTTGATGGAAAGCTATAGAGCCAGGAAATCGAGCATCGAATCGATGTATAACGGTGCAAAGCAGATTTACCCGAATATAACGCGCGACAACGAGCCGCAAAGGACGCATTGGAAGCGAGAGAATCAGATTGGATCGCTTTGCTGCTGCTCGCCACCTGTGGTCCCATTTTGCGATCGACAGGTGGTAAACGCCACTTTCCATCCAACTGCTAACAGAAAATATCCTTTCGCGCTACGATCATTCCGTTATTTATGATTCGCCTCTTTCTCGACGCGTAGAACCGCATCATCCGGGACGATTTATTCTGTCAGTTTCAGTGACAAAAGCATCCGGCAACAGTGTGCAGATGCTCTTATTCTCATAAATGTGACACGAATATCGCTACGATTATCGTGAAACACCGTTTATACGATTTTACATTCGCAGACAAATTGTTTGCCGCGTAAAAAGATAACGCAATACACGTAACTGTACAGTTTAATAAATCACAACCGATCGTCTGGAATCTTATATCAGTGAAATTCGAGTTCAAAACGAAAAACGTACCGTTCGAACGGGAAAGAAACGATCATCTCCCGATGGATCGTCTTTCCGATCGGAAGAACGATGGTTCGAACCCTCTGGTGTGATCAAATCCAGAAAAAAAAAAAAGCCGAACCTCCGGAGAAATCGAAGCGGAAGCAGGAAGAAACGGGCTCGAGAATCCTGATGGCGAAATAAAAGAAAGATAGAGGAATCGCGATGACTCGCGAGACCCATGGAATTCAGCGAGATGACGCAGTCAGGATTTACCAAAGGACTCTCTAGCCGTGGAATGTCGGAGTCTGTACGCAGGGTAGATCCTAGCCAGATGGTCGTTCGACGAACGCAGGCTTTACGACGCTCTCGCCGTCGAGAAAGAGAGAAATGGTTTCTCACATCGTAAGGGTTCGAATCTCGTCGCGGATCGCAGGAAAGAGTTCGAAACGGGTATTGGTCCCAGGACGAGAGACGAGATACGCTCGCAATATCGCGCCCCTACTTTCCTTTCTTTTATCTAAACGACCGAGCAACACCGAGTACGCGGGAAACCTACTCCGTGGATATTTTTCCCCGTTGAATATCCACCAATAGATTGTCCCTCGTTCCTTTTTATTTGCCTCCTTTTAATCCGTCCGAAATCTGGCTTCGATCGAACCCTCCAAAATATCTTTCAGACGAAATTTGCACGTGTGTGTTTGTGTGTACGAATACGAGGGATCTATTTTCAAATTTTTGGCGAAAAATAGTACGAATAGAGAACATTCAACGAAGATCACGAACAAAGTATATAATGAAATATGAAAGAATATAACGAAAGAACATTAATCGCAATAATATAAACGAAATAGTATACATGAAATAATATAAGGTTATCTGGTAAAGCGCGACGAAAACGACAATCAAAAGGGATTGCGCACTACCGAACGAAATAGTATAAAGATATATAAAGTTATAAAGATATAAATGGTGAAAATTGGCACATGAAAAGAGTAAAAGGCAACTTACCATAAGCGCTGTCGAAAAACGAACCATCCAAACCCACAGGCGAAGACGAAAATGGCCGATCTAATCGGCACGCGTTCCTCACTTCACGTCGTATCGACGACGCCAGCGCCACTTCCGGCGCTTTTCATAATTAAGAGCGGAGAGCGCGAAAATTTAAACGGTTATTACTAGCGCGAACCACCCCTTTTGTGGATTTATCGTATTTCTGATAAAAATATATTGACACCTCCTCTCAAATTTCATCCCCTTAAGAAATTATTAAGCTACTTTTGTCTGTAGACAAGCTACATTAATCGAAAGTTAAAAATGAAAACAGGAAAATTTCAATCGATAAGAGAATTCGTTTACACTGCACAAAGAATGATACTCTTTTTTCGGTGAATGGAATTGTTCGTTGATCCGATCGGAAAATTGTTGCACGGTGTAAATGGCGAGGCGGGACAAGCTTAAAAGCTTCTGGAAAATCGAATTCGCGACGGCGAACAGCGAGAATACCCATCGAGGCTACGAATAAAGCGTTATTTGCATTCTAGAAAGGGCTCGGTGGCGACGGCGTCGCGTGTACGGCATTCGTGGATACGTGACTAGAGGCCAGCGACGAGGAGAC